AAAGGAAAAGAAAAAAACCAAACATGATAAAGTTTTACAAATTCCTGTATGCACAAAGGCACTGGGTTTGGGTGGTTTGTTCAGATTTGAGTATGAAATGATGTGATTTTAACTAAGCATAACGTAGATGTTTTTGTTTGCTTTGTTTTGTTTTTAAATAAAAACATTGCACAGTAGAAATGACTAACAATCTTTATTTGATACCCTTATGTAGAAACTGGGAAACAAAATGGTTATGAATTACATGATTGCTGTCTCGGACTCTAGTGATGTGTCATGTCACTAAAAGTATCTGCATGACCTGATACCACCGCGAGCTCAAGATCAACACAAGCTTTCAGGGGGGCTTTCAGGTGGTGAGAGCTTTCAGTGGGCTAAACTAGATTAAAACCTGTTTGAGTTCTACTAGGTCTCAGGACAGACGTATTTTAGTTGGCTATACACTGAAAATGTATATTCAAAAGGATTAAAAGGGTCTAAGTTTTATTTAGAATATAAAGTATTAGCGATTATACGTGTTTAAGCGGTAAATATTTTATAGATGAGAATATGAAATTCAGTTCCATTCAGAAAAAGTTAACATATATTTATTTGGTGTCAGGTACCAAGAGTGGAAAATTAAATAAGGTTATCATTAAAAATATTACTAAATATAGTATACATAATATACATATTATACATATTTCATCAATCTTGTACAAAAAATAGATAAATTTATCTAAGCAAAATATTGATCCATCTCTGCACAGTGTTATCTTTTTAGGGTGGGCATGGTGTCAAGGTGGTGGGGCCCAAAGTGATTTTTTTTCCCAGACAGGACCCCAAATCCCAGGTGGCACCCCTGTGTAATAACAATTACACTGAGTTCTCTTCCCAGTAATTAATGACTCATCTGCCTTTCCCTCCTTTATCAATCCCAGCTTTAACTCTTCCACCTTTACTTCCTCCCTCTGCAATCCCACTTCAACCCCAAGCCTTTCAAGTTCAACCTGCAACACATTCATCAACCCCCTCCTTCATACTATACTTGGCACATCTGTCACTATTACCAGTTATTAAGGAGGGAGGAGGGTCATGAGGAACAAGCAAAGCCACATGAATAGCCTTACACACTGTAACCTACGCAGTCCATGACCTCCCCTTCCAAGACCCTACTTGTTAGGGGTGCAACGATATTCGTAT